GGAGGAAGGTGGGAGGAAGGATAGAAAGAGTGCACGAAAACAACAATGAAATTAAAAAATTAACCACAAAAATATGAAAACATATCACCTGCAGTAATCGGTGTAGSTTCTGGAGCACGAGACGGGACCTTTCCTAGTAAAAAAAATGAATTATGATATCACTTGTACATAAATGGAAAGGTGGGTTTAGCGGTTATTTTAYATTCTTAGCATTCCTAGCGTGGATACGCTCCAAGGATTTCAAAAGTTCTTTACACTACTATACCATGAGGTGTACTACCGGTAGGGAAGAGAATACAATGATAAAAAAAGATTCAGTATTTGAAAAAGTGATTTAATTACATGTTAAACGAACAACTCATTTCATGTGCAAATTGACTGTCGGCGAAATTGAGGCGCTTCAGCCTTCTATTGTATTATTATTTCGTGTTTACCTAGTATTTTACTCAATAAGCATCCCCGTTTTAGAGTGAAATGTCGTCTTTTGGGAGCGCTTTACTTATAACGAAAATCAGCATAGATAAGCTTTTTGCCTAGCCGTTCTCTTTAGGACGTAAAAATAGGATATTTCACGTCTTACTTTCAGGATAAGACGGTAATGATGCACAGTGTTTCGTACATTCCAACGAGTATCTATTGAATAGCGCAATTAGTGCTATTGTATGTTTGCCGTCGTCGTCGTCGTTGCCGTCCTGCAGCTTAAGGTSCCTAGTATGGCCACCAAACAGTATATACGTTATAGTGGACCATAGCCGACTTGGTACGAGCTAATATCATGTATTTAGTTGTATTTGGGTTAGTTGTTAGATAATTCTTTAAGCGCCACAAGCGTAACTTTGCAAAAATTGTATTCAGTCGTAAGGTTACATTATCAGTTGTTTCAACAAATATACAGTAGATAAATTCGTATCTTTTGCGTAAATAGATTGGTTGAAGTTGTGTATTTCTTGCACCAAATCAGGTGGAACCTTACAAAAGATGTAGATCAATGTAAATTCAAGAACAGATGCATGCCGTACAACAAAAGTGACGAGCGATAATTCTTCACCAAGGTCTTCTGTGTTCGAACTCCGGGCTACTTTCTTATCCAAGAACAGACATCCCCAAATATCCCGARGGGGTGTATCTTCATAATATCAAGTTATAAAATAATTTTAAACTAGACTAWATTATCCTTCCTTGTACTTTAAAAAAATCACAGAATTTTAACGTGGAAAAAAAAAAATGCAATTCCTACAACAAACCTTCTATAGCCTGTATGAGCGGTCGGCTCTGTGCTGGCAACTGATCGTAGGTGTCAGGATTTAATACGCGACTGGGGCTGCTAACCACTTCATTCAATTGAGATGGGTCACGACGACGTCCTACCCGTATAACGTGTATCCCAACATTTCCATTCTTCAACTGGTTCACTAATTGTCTTCTTTGTGCTGCATATCGTGGATCCAAGTCACCTCCGGAAAGAATAACCAAAATCTACAACGGAATCAATCAAAATATGAATCCAATCCCAAATTTTAGATTAACACTATCTGATTTGAATATTCCTACCTTTCTTGCGTCAGGTCGTGCACCATATTTTGAGTCGCTAAATCCAATCTGTGCCACTTGAAGACCCCYTCGCATGTTTCTCTGATCTCCAGTCTCAGGAAGTACCGCGTCTATATTCTCATTGACCGTTTCAGTGTTGTATCGGTACCGTAGTATATCGGCTGACGGAAATGAGAATCTCAGTGACCCTTTATTGGCGTACACTGCGWAYGCTACGTGAGTACCTCCAGGAGAGATCTKGAAATATCTCAASAGTGATTTGGWRAARCTCTTCATCYTGTTAAAAGGCACGCCTCTAGAACTATCAACCAAGAACATTAAATCTGTCGCTTTTGGTTTGGCTGCGGGAAAAAAAACAAAACTCAGTAGTTAATCTGGATGAAACATATTAATTACGTTACACATTGAAAAAATTGAAATACTTCAGTTTCGAGCTCTCTTTGCTCAGTCGTAGTCTCGTTTGTGCGTTATGATATTCAGCTATTCAACTTAAACCCTTGGCATTTCATATTTCCGAAAATTGCCACAAAAATCGCATCAAAAATCGCCGCAAAAATCGCCAGCGTAAACGGGGCTGTAGGCAGCCTCCTCAATTAAGAACAAAAACTAAACCTCAACAGCAACAAGAACAAGATCAACAGAATTGAAACAAACTGTATAAACTAAGAACGCACAAGTCACCTTCAGGGGTTGGAGTAACATCTGCCGTTTGAGTGGGCTTTTTTTCTAAAAAAAAAAAAGTAAAGAGATTTGACTGAGGTTATGTAGTAAATTAGGTGTCAATAACCTTGTATATAAAATATTTATTTCGACCTTTCGGGCTAAACGCTCATCATCAGGGAAATTGTGTTAAGGACGTTCATGGGCATTGTTCGCGCGCATTCTTTCTACCCATGAATTTAGTGAGCGCACGTTCATCGTGATGAYGACATTCTAAAACATTATAAAAATTTGTTAATATCAAAGTCGGGGACCGCCTTTTTTATTTCGTTTTTCGAAAGTACTTCACAGTACACAGCTTTAGGGGACAAATAGAAAATATAACGATGGGATAAAATCGAAATTACATATTTTGTGCATAATTGGAATAGGATTTCACGTAACGGGAATGCTCCAAGTCCATGCACACTTGTAGCCAAATAACATTTTTTATCATATGACCCGTACGGCCCTGCTCGCGCGCTCTAATAAAACCATTGGAAAAAGTCACGTGATGGGGGCCG